AAAAAAGGAAAAAGAATCAGGGGAAAGGGCTAACAAACATGGCCGTTGGAAGCGGTGTGGCTCTGCACCGAGAGGTCCCTATTTACTGTACTGTACAGTGAGTGGGCTTGCTATTGACTCTGCCTTTCCTCTTCATTCTTACCTTAACGACTAGTGGTGATATAATATACAGAACCGTATTGATGTATCGGGAGTAACAGGAGGAGCCATTTAAAGAGGCGAGAGAGAAAGTATAATCACAAGAGGTATTTAAACTTAGCCGGTGCGTGCTTGGAAACGGGCGGGCAGGCTGCCCTGCGCGCAGCCCGGGCAGGGGGGGCACCGCCTGCCCGGAGGTGTGCGTTATTGTCTGAGGTGCTTACGCAGGGGAAAAAAAAAAAAAAAAAAAGATGTTTGCCTTAGGGGGACGGGAAAGTTCAAACTCCCCAGATTTGGGTTTTCTCGTGATCTTTCGTTTGTATCTGCTGAAAAAGTGAAGCGTGCTGCTCAGGGGAAGCTACCCAGTGGCTTTCCATTTCGAATTTCCATCTCTTTTTAAACTGATGCCTTCCAGGGCTCACCTAAAAGGCGCGCATCTGTGTGGGGATGAAGGTGACTTCAGGTGTGGCTCCTTGCCTCCTAGCACACATGCATAAATCCGGGAGTCATTCTAGGAGGGCTTGTTAAATGCAAAGCAGTAGCAAATGGATGACAGGCACTTTTAACTGCAGCCTAAATGTAAATATAGACTCCAGCTTGGCCTAGAGTCACACCATTATGGCTGGGGCAATCAGCAAACCTGTTCAAAGGGACATTTGGAAGGATGCTAGGCAGAGTCACTCATCTTTTAACACTATAATGGTGGGAGGGACCAGCATTTCCACAGAAGAGAGACCCACCTTGTAAGGACTGTTTGTTCAAGGTACAAACCAGAATCTATTTCTCTACACCTTTTATTATTTCCAATGTATACGGAGTGCTTACATCAAAACTACAGGCGACAATTAGTATAAATAACGCTTTAATCAATGGCAGCAAAACATTGGCAAAGTCTGTAAAAAGCATCGCACCTTAACAGAGGGGAGAGCATTGCTGGACAATGCGATCGTTTAACAAAAGGCTCCAACGCACAACGTTTCACCCATGAGAAACAAAACCAACCAGCTTCCCTTCCTACGCAAAGTAACTCTGAAGGAGGGTTGAAAACCAATAAAAAATAAACCTCAGGTTTGTTTTCCACGGGAGGTAATGGCCAGTGGGTGCTTGTGGTCGTTATTACAGACGTTCCTGACCCTTCAGGAGCATTGGCAGCTGGAAACTATTTCTTTTGGTACTTTCTGGGCCCCAGTTCACGTATACTCCGAGCTTACAGCACAATTACAACTACGTAAACTTAGAGTGCCCCGGCCTCGCTCAAAGGGGACTTGCGAACAGGGTTGTAAGAGCTGTGCCTGCTGATTTTTTTGGAAATATTAACATTTCAAAAGACAATGAGACAAATTCTGCTCGCAGCTACATCCCTGTTTGACTGCAGTGGGCGGGGGAAGGCGATCTGGGAGCAGAATTTGGCCCTTTAACTTCAGGAGCCATCTCGGTCGCTAAGAAGCACAAAGCGAGGATTTGCTTATCCAAGGCCATTATTTTCCAGAACTGTACCACAGATGCCAAAGTTGGGAGCTCTCTCTCGAATAACACGTTTGCCTTGCTCCCAGCCAACTTATCACAGGCGTTAAGTAAACAGCGGGGGTCCGGGAGGGGGATTTTAAAGAAGAGCAGCCAGAGGAGGCTTTCTCCCCCCCCCTCCCTTTTTTTTTTTTTTTTTTTCCTAGATTCGTACGAGGAGCAAAGGGAGGGCTTTGGACAACTCTGGAGACGAAAGGCCGCTACCGCAGGAACCGGCTGTAACAAAACTTGAAAACTTGTCTTAGGAATTCCCTCCTCAAGCGCTGCTGCTAGCTGCTCTCCATGCCAGAGAAAGGGAAGGGTAGTTCGGGTCCAAAAGGTTAAGGGTTTAGAGGTCACTCTTCCCGGCTGAAATACAACTAATCGAATAGAAAATTTGTCCTCTGGGTGAACCTGTTCCTGCAATTTAGCCGAACTTCAGTAAAATACCTTTTCAGCTTCTCAACGTGAAGGCGTCAGAAAAAAGACGTCTTTACTATGTATGAACTCGGTGCTTTTTGTCATAGAAACAATGATGCGAATAATGCGGGAATATCCATCTTTAATATCACGACGTGGAGATATTCAAGTATTGCCATGTGCAAGTCTGAGAACTGGGCTAACCCTAAGGAAGAACAAAGAGTTTTCTCCAGGCTCTAAAACAAAAGACCAAGTCTTAAAGACACTTTGCGGACTGCTAGGGATAAGAAAAGGGCAGAAATGAACCGCTGGCCACAGTTAATGCTGCCGAATACACTCCTGTTGAAAAGCTCGCCTTTTATTTTCAAATTCATTCAAGCCCATTTCGGCCAGCGTTTTCCCGTTTTCCCGAGTGAGCCCAGAGAGCAGCGAGTCCTCGGTGGGAAGCACCCAGCCTGGAGATGGACACCCCCTGCTCTTCCCACCTCCCTTCAGCCTTCGCTCTGGGTTTCCTTCTTTGCCCCTTTTCCCTTTAATAAAGGGACCGTCTCGTTAGGATTTCCATGATATGCTCCCTCTCCCAGGCTGCCCTGAGGGTACAGGAGATAAGGGCTGAGCTTTAAAACCGCCTGAAAGGAGATGGAAGTGGCTGAGGGAGCTGGTTTGGCTGGGTTTGGTAGTTAGAGCTCACTAAAACTTTGGCACGATGCAGCCAGGGATAAATCCGTGGGTATTAGACCAGCTCTGCTCCCATCCAAGCCTTTCCCCTTTCCCTGAAAGCAACTTGCTGAGATTTCCAGTCATTGCAGTCATGTGTGGTGGTGTGCTTAAAAACAATCACTGTTCTTCAAGAAAAAAAAAAAAAAAAAAAAAAAAAAAACCACACACCAAAAAAATACCCAAAAAACCAACAACCCAACACAACAGACCAAAATAACCCCCAAACCAAACAAAGCAGCAACCCACATAGCCTCTCTCTCTCTGGCAGAAAAGAAATTTAAAATCTGATTGAAAGAATGCATTCAGCTTTCAGCTTTGAATGGCTCAGGTTATATCAGAAATCGCAGTAATATTTCACTCTGGGGTTTTCTTTTTAGCTTTTTGCTGTGAGGGTTGGGGGTTTTGGTGGTCTTCCCCCCC